GTCTTTGGGAAACAATGCCTTAATGAGTATGTTTTTGGGCTGTGGTAAGGGAAGAACCCCGACATCCTTCCATCTCTGTCATCTTTTTAATTAATTAATTAATTAATTAATTAATTTTTTAACCATCTTTTTTTTTTCTTTGTGATACGACAACTTTACTCCAACAGACGTCAGCACTGTTTACTGTCTAGTAATCTTTTAACGTCTAATTTTCATAAATTAGCGTCTGACTCGGGGTAGTCACTCAGCCACGTGGTTTCGCCCTCTGGCATGTAATTAAATGTAGTTAATTAAATGAAGTAATTGACTCTCAAATTCAAGGTAAACAGCTTCTCAGTGTCACTTACTGAAGGAACTGGACAGGAAGGTTCTGCCACGTCTGGGAGTTCTAAAGATTTCACTCATGATAATAATACAAAATAATAACAATAATAATAATATATTATATTATTATTATTATTATTATTATTTTAGTTTCCAACTATAAATTGGGTTTCAAATATGTTTTTTTTCCCCCTCACACACACTGACTCACACACACACACACTCTTATAGCCCCTCCCTCCTGGTCCTTCTGCAGCAGCCGCTGCAGCAGAGACTCTGCAGCATCACTATCACCATCTTCATTTTCAGACTCTGAGTCTTCCACTGCTCCTCCTCCTCCTCCTCCTCCTCCTGCTGCTGCTGCTCCTCCTGCTGCTCCTCCTGCAGAAACACCATGAGCCTCTCCCTGCAGCTCCCTCTGGATTAGAAGCAGGTCAGAGATTGGATTTTTGATTCTTTTCTGAGTTAATCATTTTGGGTGTTGGTTGTTGTGCTGCTGCTGGAGTGGGTGCGTCTGCTGGTCCATCTGTTCATGTGTGTGTGTGTGTGTGTGTGTGTGTGTGTGCTTCTGCATCAGTTTTGTCTTCACTGCTGGTTGAGTTCTTTCTCTGTTCTTTCAGAATGTAAAAATATGTGTCTCAGTTTTTCCTGACAGGGAGTATTAAATATGACCAGAGGTTTAAGCTAAGTTCACTACAATATAACAGGACAGCTAATCGTTAGCTAACAGGTAAAAGCATAGCTAATCTGGATTAGGTTCAAAAGGAGTTCTCAACAGAGAGTCAGACACAGAGGCAGATGGTGAAAAACGTCTGTAAAAATCAAAGTGTCGTCAACAAATGTGTGGACGTTGAAACAGTTTTTTTTCATTGTTCTGGTCCAGACCCGTCTCCAGCGTTCCTTCGTCCGACAGCTACGTCAGTAACCAACCCGAAGCCTTCAGCAGAACTGCATCATGGACGAGCAACAGAACCATCCGTCAGAGGAGCCCATATGTAAGCAGCCCACGGCCGGGGAGGCCGAGGCCGCGGCCGCTGCTGATCCAGCATCCGCCGTCTCCGCCGCACATGAAGGAGCGGAGTCCAGAAGCCTGGACCACCTGGACGTGACCAGGGACAACATGGAAAACAGTAAACACAACCACAACTAACACACACACACACACCAAACCCACACACACACATCACCTGACCAGTGCTAACTCTTCCTCCTCCTCCTCCTCCTCCTCAGGTAACGGCCTCGCTCCAGTGATGGCCGACACTTCCCCCACGCTGGGCTCCGCTTCACCCCCTTCGCACGCCAACGGTCATCCTCGCCTGAGCAGCCGATCGGGGTCGTTGGTGGCGGGTTCACCGCGGCCATCGCTCAGCCGCCAGCACAGCACCGTCATGGAGACGGTGGCGGCGGACGGATCCAAACCCAGAGACTACCTGCTCCTGGCCATCCTGTCCTGCTTCTGTCCACTGTGGCCCATCAACATCGTCGCCCTCACCTTCTCTGTGATGGTAATGCAACAGGGGGCGCTCACCACCCAACCTGGGAGCACGATTGCTTAAAGTTGATGGCTATAGTAAAAATAAATTAATAAAAAAATATATATAAATATTAGAATCACAACAAACTCAAAGAAAGACATTCACCAAAGAGACGGATGAAAAGTTAGTCAAAGAAAGATCACCGGTTCAATAATGTCCAACGATAACGGTTAGCCAAACGTTGTGTGAGAATTAGCGATAATTGTAGCAAACGTATTTTAAGGGTGGCTGAATTATTTTGAAATATAACAAAAAAGTAACTTGTGAGAATTAAATTTGTTAGTAGTTGTTTGAATTGTGATTTATCTCGTTTTGTTTGTTTTGTTTGTTTTGTTTGTTTTCGTTTGTTTTTGTTTGTTTTGTTTGTTTTTGTTTGTTTCGTTTGTTTCGTTTGTTTTGGTTTGTGTTTGTTCTGATGTTTGTGTGTTCAGTCCAGGAACAGTCTGCAGCAGGGAAACGTGGACGGTGCCCGACGTCTGGGTCGTAATGCCATGATTCTGTCAGTGGTGTCTATTCTGGGTGGAATCGCCATCATCGCCGCAGCTATTGCCCTCAACTGGGGATGTGAGTAACTGCAACTTCAGGCCAAAAAATAGTTTTTTTTTGTGGAGCTAACTTTTAATTATATATGCTATGTTTTAAGCTAATCTTTGATATGTGTTTTTCTGTATTTCTTGCTAACCCTTAGCTATTTTGCTTAATCCTTTATTTTCTCAGAGCTACCTTTAGGTTTTCTTTAGATATTTATTGGTTATTTTGCTGCATGACGTCGCCGACTGTTCCTTTCCTGGACTAATGTTCGTCTTCCCGTGGCTAACTCTTACCCAAAAATGCTACACTTTAGTTAGACATTGGCTCTTTCTATAACTGGGTGATCATTTAGAACTCTCTGGGGAACTGATTATTTACTTTAGGTTAATATAATTCCAAATATCTTCCAGTGATTTTAAAATCCTGATGAGACTTGGTGAAATGACACGGAGCGACACTGACCTTCCCAGTTCACCTGATCCTGATCTTTCTTTAATCCCGACCTGATCCTGGCTCTGAACGCCTTCTCCGGACAAGAACGACTCAGATCCGTCCCTGTGTTGATCCCAGCACTCGCTGCGTTTTTACCAAACCTCAAAACAACTAGCACTCGCTGCGTTTTTACCAAACCTCATTCGATCATCGATCAACCGCACATTTGATCAATCAACCCTAACAATCAGTCCACCAATGAAAGCCCAAATTTAATAAATATTCCAATCTCACCATCCAACCGAGGACCAACCAACAGCCAACATCCAACCCTGATCCCAGACCTGTTTTGTCCTGAAACATCGTCACCGTCTTGAAAGGTTTCTAATGGATAAAAAACAAATCCTTCTGGATCTATGAAACGGTTCTGGAGCTCCGGTGGTTCTGACTGAGAACAGCTTCATCAGATGAAACCTTTTCTGATCCTACTCGCTCCAGATGTTCTTCATCCAACCAGTGTGGACCAACCATACGATCAGGCAACTGTCAGAACCTCTGCTGGTTCTACAGTGGAACCTGGACCTGGAACAGCACCACTGGTACTGATCATGGAAGCACTTTTCTGCCACTGCATTTTAATTGGCCTGATATTCACTCATTGTCAGCCATCTTTTAGCATATTGAGGACGTCTTTAGCATTTTTTAGCTTACCTCATGAAATTTCCCAACATCCTGTTGGCACTTGTTTTGTCTAACGATATCCCTTAGCTTTATCCCTTTCCTTCGGCTCCCATATTTTTTTTTGTTTTGCCTCTTTTTTTATTTTGTGAACAATTTGTTTATTATTTGACTAGCTCGGCTAACTAGCTTCATTCTTTGCTAAATGTGAGGCTCCTTTACTGTGTTTCCAGCAGTTACTGTTTGTGCTTGAACATTAAAATTTTGTCTCATCTTCATCAGAATTTTGGCAAATTTTCAGCTGTAACAACCTGATGGCCCTGAAGATGGCGCTTAAGAGCTATTCACTACAAGCTGTAACACGTCAACGATACAGGAGAGACTTTTTCTCGGTTCAACTTTTTGATGCCAAAAAAAAGAAACACTGAGGTTTTTGTCTTTGAACCTAAAAAAAAAAAAGGAAACCAACACCGAGGTTACGCACAACTATGTGAACAGAAACGTTCACCTTTGACACTAGGCATGTTCCCAGAGTTCACTTTTCCAACATGACGTCTTCACGCACTGCGCCCAACAGCCGATACCCGGAGGTGCCTTCAAACCAATCTTTGAGTGGATATTTATTTTTGGCACAATAACATGGTACGAGATACAAAGAGACTTGGATTCAAGATAAAAGAAAGAAGACGCCAAGAAAGCAAACCTTATCGTGTTTGGTCCCTCTCATTATCGCAAGAAAAATGGGGCTAACATCTTTAAAGTGAAGAAGGAAATGGACATCTTGATATGAAGTGAAGCTGGCTGCTAATTAGCACGTAGCATTAGCTCCTATTTCAGGAATCCCTCGACTGGCTAAGCTTTGGCTGTTTTGGTGTTGTTAGCTAATTCTCCACCAGGGCAGTTATTCATCATCAGTCACAGAGTATTTACATAAAAAAAGTGACAAAAAAAAAATCACATGATGTTCCGACAATAGTTAGCCATTGGTTAGCTATAGTACTAGCAGCAGTGAGCTTAACAAGGAACGTAGATTGCACAGTATTACGACAACAACAACACATTAGAACCACTGTACATTTGAAGGCACTTTTGTGACCCGTGCATGTTTACAGTATTTATGACCGAATGCTTTTATCTACTTCTTTAGCCTGGTTTAGCCGTAGTGCTAACAGATTAGCACTTTGTAAATAAAAAGGAACTTTAATGAGGGTGCCCGTATATACAGTATGTCCCCTCCCCAAAACGTTTGGGCTGTAAATTCAGCAATAGAAATGTATTTGAACACCGTGATGAGAAGAGAGGACGGAAGGAAAGGAAGGAAAGAAGGAAAGAAGGAAAGAAGGAAAGAAGGAGAGGAGGAGAGGAGGAGAGGAGGGAGGAGGGAGGAGGGAGGAGGGAGTGGTCACAAGACGACAGGAGAAAAAGGAAGGAAGGATGAAAGGAAGTGAGGGATAGAAGAATGGATGAATTTAAAGACAGGATGAAGGGGGTCAAATGATGCTGTGTTTTCATTTTTTTTTAAATTAATTTCTGTTACATTAATATTTAAAAAAAGAAAAACCAACATCCTGACAGTTATTTATGATTTCTTCACACTTAACATTTAAATGTTTAGTTTGAAATTTTCGAAATTTTCGATTTAGTTTCGATTTAATCAGACTGGATATTTAGTATATTTTATTTTTTATATTTCACCACCATAAATACATGGTTAACAAAGTAAATGTTTTAATTTACTAATGTTTCACCTTTTTTTTCAAATTTCATAAATGATGATTTTATTTTTCTAACAAATTATTTATTCTTTTGTCACCACAAGGGTTTTAAATTGTTAGTGTATTCTTTTTATGAAATATGCAGTAATTAAGTTAAGGCACATTTGTTACACTTTAATAATTTTATTGAATTTATACATTTTTTTCAATAGTTTTCAGATCAAAATTCTTTGTGATTTTACTCGTCCGATCACCAACTCATCTTTTTTCAAAAGTAATTTTTAATCTTTTCAAATTTATTAAAATATTTTTATCAACTTTTTATATTTGTTAAATGACACATTTGACTTTGATTTTTATCGTTTCTTGCAGCAGAAGGCCCCGCCCCTAATGCCCAACCACAAACTTTGAACTTTTTCAACTGTATGCAGCCTGCTTTTAACTCTATACTCTGAACTTTATTCAACAAAAACAAATATTATAAAATGCTATTGTTACATTCATTTTATAGGTCAAGAATCAAAGTCTGTCCCAGGTCGCTGTTTACATTCAAATCTGATTACATTTTAACATATAATTTTGTATAATTCAACAGAAATGGCTACATCTGACCATCTTTCCTCATGACATTTCAAAACAGCTAATTTGCAAAGTTTAAGTTAATTATTTTTTCACTTTTGAGTTAATGTTAAACTAAGTTTAAGATGATTAAGTTTTCTTACATGAAACATTTATATTTTTGTCCCAAATAATTATTTAAAATATAAATTCTATAAAATATCATCACTGAGTAATTCCAGTATTTATTTATATTAATTGATGTTGTTTGCTGTTTGTTTTTACTAGTGCTGTTTTTTTTCTTGTGTGTTGCTCACATTCACCGACGATGACTTTGTATTTTTATACAGTTCTATTCTCATTTTCTGATCCTTTTTCTACACTTTTGCTCATGAACAGTTTGTATCACTGCTTTACAGTTCTGCACAGTAGGGGGCGAAAGTGAGTCAGCATGAGCTCAGTTGGACGCTTCAGACTGTTGCAGATTCTCTCTCTCTCTCTCTCTCTCTTTATCTCTCTCCGTGCATCGATGCATGCCTTAAATCCGTGAGGATCAACTGTAACTGATTATGACGATATTTGCAACGAATACATAAACTGTCAATTCATCTCCAGTTGTTTCTACTTCTTCAAAGGTAATGAATGAAAAGATTAGTCGAAAATTGTATGTTTTAAACAGAAAAGAATTGCAATTTTTGCTTTTCTGTAGGTTTCTCATGAAATTACAGCATTAAAAAAAAAGAATTTTAGACTTTTTTTTGGAAATTATTCAGTAAAATCTTAATTTAATGTGTCATGTTTTCAGATGGTAAAAATATATTTTTTTTTTTTCTGCATGTTTCTCATCAAATTAAAACAGATTTTTTTTTCAAAATTATTTCTTTTGGCATGTTCTTGGGAAAAATCTTAATTTCGCATTATGTTAGTCGGAAGGTAAAAAAATATTGACATTTTTTCAAAACTGCAATTTATTACAGCATTTTGAGAATTTTTTTTTTGACAAAATTTTAGTGTCACATTCATGTTGGTGAAGACATGTTAACAAAACACCAAAATAAACATAAACTCAAAATCAACAACAACAAAAATAAAAAAGAAATCTTTGCAAAAGGACCTTTTCCTGGAAATGGTCTTAAGTTCTCCTGAAGAGTCCAAACTGTGCACCCAGACCAGGGTCCAGACTTCACCAAGTCTTCGTCGTGATCTGATCTGTTTTCACTGTGATTTTCATCATGTGGACACAGTGGATGCCCGGGAGGTTGGACCCGGCCAGTTCACAGTGGTCAGCATCAAACTGCTCCAGAGGAACTTTCACACAGTTTAGGTTCCACCTACGGAGCAGAGGTTCAATCCACCAGTCGGCGCTGAAAAGGGTGAGAGCTTTATTAAAAAAAAATCTCTTCTTTATAAAAGTTGATCCACTTCCTAAAAATTAAATCCGGTGGATGTTATATTTCACTTTAAACATTAAAATGAAATGTTCTGCTGTCATTGTATGGTATTACCTCCTTTCCTGGTATGTGGTCCAGAACTGGGACCTGGGGTTCTTCTTCAGAAGAAAAGCCACAGTTACAAGAACATCTTCAAAATCTGAAAATGGAGTCAAGTTATCAGTTAGTTTTCTTTATGTATTTCTCGCTGTGGAGCCGTAACGTTTTTGTTGACACCAGTCGCTGAGCAACATCTGGATCCACTCAGATTCCACTCAGACTCGTGACACTCACCGGCAGGCTCATAAAAAACATCCGATCCCAGAATGAGGTCCACATCTGGGAGCAGGACCAGGTCTGGGGAGACCTCGCCCCACGTGAGACCCAGCACCTGCACATCCTTCAGATCGTTGGCTTCACAGCTGCGTCTGCAGTTCTCCAGGCACTGGGGAACCTTGGCACTATCTGACAGGATCACGTCCGCACCACAGCGTGCCGCCAACACGCCAGGAAGACTCACGCCTGCGCCCACCTGAGGAGAGACCATGGCACCATCCACGAATTGGTGTTGAATAACTCGGATCTCAGACCCCGTTCTAAAATGATCTTCTCACCTCCAGCACAGTTTTGCGTGGCAGCTCCTCTCTACAGGTCCACAGGTACTGAGCCAGCACCACTGCACAGGGCCACACGTACATGCCATACTGTGGGTCCAGAAGCTGAGAGGGTGGAGTGAGAGTATCTTTATCTTATAATCCTTCATGAAAAAGGAATGCCTTCAAATTAGGCTGTGTTTCTTTTTTGGAAACAATTCAAAAACTTTAAATCACCTTCTTTTCAATAATTAAATTTGACTTTATGACCCTACTGTTGTCATCTCCTTTAACTAAAACATGGTATTTCTATAATTAATGATAAAATCAAACCAACCTCGGGTATGGAGACAGACAGGGACTCTGGTGGATCTGTCTTGTCATCTTTAAAGGTGAACTCTTTCACAGTTATGCTCTTTGGTTTCTCCATGAACCATCATCAAAGTCAACGTCGTCTAAAAAAACACGAATTGTTCGGCCCACCAATCGTGCAAAATAATTACAAATAACTGCGCGTTGAGTTTATATGTATTTAGCGGTAAAGAAAAGTTTCATATGATGAACTTTGTCCCTCGTCGGTTCCTATACTCTCAAATTACAAGATGGCTGCGCTTGTCTTCCACTCACGTCTCCGCTAGTTTTTGCCGGGAGGCTGTCATTCCGTCGGTTTTATCCAATCAGCTTTCCGTTCTTCTACAAGGGCGGGATGTAGTGATACATGCGTAGGTTCTGGACTGGACGCTAACAGCTAGCTGTTGTCATTAGCTGACAAACTCCTCAACAGTCCTGTTGTGCGAGCTTTTATTTGAACAAAACTCAGCCAAAAGTAAGCTGTTTCGGATATAATCGGACATTTACCCACAGAAATAACACACGTGTGTGTATGTGTGCGCGTGAAAGTGCCGGGTTTCCTTTGACAGGAGACAAATAAAACGCACACATCAACCCAGACATAAGCGAAAACATGAACCACAAGAGTAAAAAGAGGATTAAAGAGGCGAAGCGGAGTGCCAGACCCGAACTGAAGGATTCTCTGGACTGGATCAAACACGGATACTGCGACAACTTCGACCTGTCACTCCGAACTGTCCGGGTACAGAAGCTAAGCAAAGCTAGGCTAAGCTAAATGTTGCTAAGACGAGCAGGAAGTGGAACTGTCACGTACACACCAATAACTTAAGAGTCCCTGTTATCACAAAATGTGTCTCATTTTGGTCGATCTCTAGTTTATCTATTTGTTGAAACTTAGTCATTAAAATTGTCCCAAAAGAAAATGAGATTTATTTAACAGGGAAAGCATTCCATACGTTGTTGATTTCTCTGTTTACATACATAAATCAATTCATAACAGCACCTTAATTTCAAGTGCTGATTAAGGGCTTTTAAATGGAATTTATTCTTTGTTATTTCGTCTTAGGTAGTGACAAAACTAATCTTACCTAAAGTCACAGAAAGAATATAATTGTCTGGGGCTGGTATGTCCCAAAGCCACACCCTCAGTTTAAAGTATTTATGACTACACAGTGGATACATAAATGCTTGTCATCTTGTGCTTGGATATTTAATCTTCTAACAGAAAATTAGACCTGTTGGAAATGTTGACATTTTGCACACTTGCACTGAAATACCCCTTGTTTGGCAGGACAATGTTGAGCGCGCTGATGCCCTCCATCTCAGTCCAGAGGAA